CAGCCGGGATTGATGGGATAAAGATAGAAATGTTAAAAGAAGATGGGGATATAGTTTTGGAGTGATTGGTGCAATTATTTAATAAATGTATGGAAGAGGGTAAGGTACCTAGGGATTGGCAGAGAGCATGCATAGTTCCTTTGTATAAAGGCAAAGGGGATAAAAGAGAGTGCAAAAATTATAGGGGGATAAGTCTGCTGAGTATACCTGGTAAAGTGTATTGTAGAGTTATTATTGAAAGAATTAAGAGTAAGACGGAGAATAGGATAGCAGATGAACAAGGAGGCTTTAGGAAAGGTAGGGGGTGTGTGGACCAGGTGTTTACAGTGAAACATATAAGTGAACAGTATTTAGATAAGGCTAAAGAGATCTTTGTGGCATTTATGGATTTGGAAAAGGCGTATGACAGGGTGGCTAGGGGGGCAATGTGGCAGATGTTGCAAGTGTATGGTGTAGGAGGTAGGTTACTGAAAGCAGTGAAGAGTTTTTACGAGGATAGTGAGGCTCAAGTTAGAGTATGTAGAAAAGAGGGAAATTATTTCCCAGTAAAAGTAGGCCTAAGACAAGGATGTGTGATGTCACCGTCGTTGTTTAATATATTTATAGATGGGGTTGTAAGAGAAGTAAATGCGAGTGTCTTGGCAAGAGGCGTGGAGTTAAAAGATAAAGAATCACACACAAAGTGGGAGTTGTCACAGCTGCTCTTTGCTGATGACACTGTGCTCTTGGGAGATTCTGAAGAGAAGTTGCAGAGATTGGTGGATGAATTTGGTAGGGTGTGCAAGGGAAGAAAGTTAAAGGTGAATACAGGAAAGAGTAAGGTTATGAGAATAACAAAAAGATTAGGTGATGAAAGATTGAATATCATAATGGAGGGAGAGAGTATGGAGGAGGTGAATGTATTCAGATATTTGGGAGTGGACGTGTCAGCGGATGGGTCTATGAAAGATGAGGTGAATCATAGAATTGATGAGGGGAAAAGAGTGAGTGGTGCACTTAGGAGTCTGTGGAGACAAAGAACTTTGTCCTTGGAGGCAAAGAGGGGAATGTATGAGAGTATAGTTTTACCAACGCTCTTATATGGGTGTGAAGCATGGGTGATGAATGTTGCAGCGAGAAGAAGGCTGGAGGCAGTGGAGATGTCATGTCTGAGGGCAATGTGTGGTGTGAATATAATGCAGAGAATTCGTAGTTTGGAAGTTAGGAGGAGGTGCGGGATTACCAAAACTGTTGTCCAGAGGGCTGAGGAAGGGTTGTTGAGGCGGTTCGGACATGTAGAGAGAATGGAGCGAAACAGAATGACTTCAAGAGTGTATCAGTCTGTAGTGGAAGGAAGGCGGGTAGGGGTCGGCCTAGGAAAGGTTGGAGGGAGGGGGTAAAGGAGGTTTTGTGTGCAAGGGGCTTGGACTTCCAGCAGGCATGCGTGAGCGTGTTTGATAGGAGTGAATGGAGACAAATGGTTTTTAATACTTGACGTGCTGTTGGAGTGTGAGCAAAGTAACATTTATGAAGGGGTTCAGGGAAACCGGCAGGCCGGACTTGAGTCCTGGAGATGGGAAGTACAGTGCCTGCACTCTGAAGGAGGGATGTTAATGTTGCAGTTTAAAAACTGTAGTGTAAAGCACCCTTCTGGCAAGACAGTGATGGAGTGAATGATGGTGAAAGTTTTTCTTTTTCGGGCCACCCTGCCTTGGTGGGAATCGGCCAGTGTGATAATAAAAATAAAAAATAAATATATAAATAAATTATATATATATATATATATATATATATATATATATATATATATATATATATATATATATATATATATATATATATATATATATATAGCGTGTTGTAACCACGAATAAGTGGTATTTAATCAATACCAACACTGCGACTAGCCGGGGGATCGAACCCGAGTTCTTTTAGCCCGCCGCATGGTAACCGAAAATTCCACAACGCTCTAACCCACGGGACCATCCAATCCTACAATAGTCACACACCCAGTAGAGCTAGGCGCTGTACCGTGATCTTTGGACATACGATGGTATGGGTGCCTCAAAGCTAATTTCATTCTACTCCCCGGTTGGTGTACTAGCCTCCACAAGCAGGATACATCTTATTGCAACCACGACCGAGTGGTATTTAATCATTGACAATGCGATTTGCCGGAGGATCGAACCCGTGTTGTTTTAGCCCCCTTTATGGTAAAAGAAAATTCCACAACACTCTAACCCAAAGAACCTTATAATCCTACAAGAATGACGCACCCAGCAGGGCTAGATGTTGTACCGTGATCCGAGAACTTGCGATGGTGTTGGTGCCTACGAGTTAATTTCATTCTACTCCCCGTTTGGTGTACGAGTATCAACAAGCAGTACATATCGTATTGCAACCACGAACTACTGGTATTTAATCAATAACAACACTGCGATAAACTGGGTGATCGAACCCGAGTTGTTTTAGCCCCTCTCATAATGAGCGAAAATTCCACGATGCTCTAACCCACGGGACCATACAATCCTACAAGAACAACGCACCCCGCAGAGCTTGGTGTTGCACTGCTATCCTAGGACATACCATGGAGTGGGTGCTTAAGGGCTAATTTCATTCTACTCCCCGTTTGGTATATATCATATTGTAGCCACGGACGAGTGGTATTTAATTAATAACAACACTGTGACTAGCCGAGTGATCGAACCCATGTTGTTTTAGCCGGGCTCATGGTGAGTGAACATTCCACGACGCTCTAACCCACGGGACCATACAGTCCTACAAGAATCACGCACCGAATAGAGCTAGGTGTTGCCCCGTGATCCGAGGACATGTGATGATGTGGGTGGTGCAGAGCTAATTTTATTATACTCCCGTCTGGTGTCTCCACAGACAGTATATATTGTAACCACGAGCGAGTGGTATTTAATGAATAACAACACTGCGACTAGACGGGGGATCGAACCCGTACTGTATTAGCCCGCCTCATCGTGCGTGATTCTTATAGGATTGTATAGTCCAGTGGGTCAGAGCGTCGTGGAATTTTCGCTAACCGTGAGGCGCTAAAACAACACGGGTTCGATCACCCGGCTAGTCACAATGTTGTTATTGATGAAATATCACTTGTTCGTGGTTATAAAAATGGTTTACCTACCATGGTGTGTTTTTTCGTCTCGTGTGATGTATCGTCTTGAATTCATTGTCTTAGAAAGTATGTCCCATATGTTAATTTATGCGAATTTTGTGAACTGAAATCCATCGATGTCAGGAATACATTGCAATTCACGTGCCTGAAATTATAGTTAATGCAGGCTTAGGAACGTATTGCAGTATTACCTCCCGGAGGAAACAGTTCCATTGGAAGCGAGAAGCACTTCAGTCAAGACTCTGCAGACTAAGTTTCAGCCACAAGGCGAACATGTAATGTAATTATTGCTAAAGGAGCATCTGCTGTTCCAGATGATTTAGTTACTTAGAGCCTCTCACAGAGGAAATTGTCGCACAAATACTCGAGAAACTGCAAGTAACAACACGGGAATACTGTTAACCCTTAGCTAAGCCCAGACTAACATGGATCTCATCATCGCCACAGTCAGCAATAATCCATCAAGGAGCACCTTCGTTACTCCAGGTATTATCAAGGAACTGCTGCACTAACGCAGGTAACACCAGACTACTAAGAAACGTCTCTGTCACCTCACGTAACGCCGGTCTTCCAAGAAACACATAACAGCCTCTTTTAACACCAGTCTTCCAAGGAACTCGTAATCACCTCAGGTAACATCGGTCTTTCAGGGAACTCTTGATGACCTCAGGTAATACAAGACCACCTTGGAACCCCTTGATCACTTCAGATAAGACAGGCCATGAAAGAACTCTCCTTCAGAACAGCTAACACCAATCTTACAGGAACTCAGTCACTTCAGGTAGCAAAAATATCAAAATTAACTTCATCAAATCTTCACGTAATAACAAACACATCAACAGACCCATCAAGATACCGCATATAGCATCACACTGTTGAAAACAAGAAACAACACAATAAATAAGGACTCGCAGAACCGCAAGACCTATCAGTTAGTAAAACCTCTGCTCACATCACGCTTGACGTGCGTTCTGATTGTGACGATCCCTGGGATCGCCAAGATTGCACTTTCTGACGTCTTGAGATATATTTTTCATTTGTTTATTTAGGATTAAAATTCATTTTTAAAGGATCTGTACATTTTAGCCTTAACAAGCTAAGAACAAAAATATAAATTCTTTACAGGGAACGTTCAGAACTGGACTCTGAGACTCGGAAAAAGTTTTGCTCCCAGATTAGAATAGGCTGCAGTGAGGTTTTTGTTCGATAAGGTAACTTAGGAATACATTCATTAGGATAACGGTCTTGACACTCCCAAAATTTGACATATAAAAAAATTAAATAAAATCTAGTTATAATCATGATATAACACGGAAGATCAAATAAATTTTCCGAATTAATGGATATATTATGTGTATCGAACTAATTATGCTCAATTATATATCGACACATCAAAGGAGGCGTATTCTACCTACCCGGAAACCAGTTCAAGTTCTCGGTTATCCACGAGGACGCTGCGGGGCTTGCCCTAAGTACATAGACTGGAGACCCTCAAAGACATTACTCAGAGCTTCTCAACCAGTCTTGGCTAGGTGGTAAAGCCGATTGTGATGCCTCCACTCCTCCCAGCGTATTACACGGCAAACTCGACCACTTCTGGGCGACTCGTGTTGAGAAAGCTTACATTAGCCAATTTCTGCTTGCTTTGCGTTATTTTTGCTTGCCTGGAGTTGTAATATGCGCCTTGCGTTGTTCAGCTCGAGGTGTTGTGGCTGTTAGATGTTCAAGCCCCTAACACTTAAAGCCTCCTTTACTTCCTCCTTCCAACTGTTCGTGGGACATCATCTACCCCTCCTTGTCTCCACGGATTTATATACCTTTCTAGTCATTCTATTTTTTCTTATCCGCTTGCATAAGTTCTTAAAATTACTTTTACCTCAATAACTTCTAAACTCCACCCTCCGAATTCGCTGTATAAAGTCCATTCCACTCCACCCTCAAACATAGCATCTTCACTTCCTTCAGTCTCCTCCTCGTGATAACATTGAAAATCCATGTTTCACACCGATGTAAAAAGTACTGGTACCACTGTACTCTGGTATATTTATCTTTGTTGCCTTATACAATGTTCTTTGTTTCCATCTTTCCTCTGGGTTACTTCTATTGTCTACCTCGTCTTTCACAGGCCCAACTGCCCACAAGTCCTTTCTTAACACATTTACTTCCTCCATTTTCTCTCCCTTCAGTCTGATGTCCAAACTTTCATTGCCTAGGTTTCTGCTTACTCTCATCATCATGTTTTTTCCCTTCTTTTACGTTCCTTCCGAAATTCCTCCGCTGTCAATGAAACTCCTGAGAATTTGTCCAAAATACACAACGAGCAAATGTGAAACTCCCACTTTGTAAAAAAATAAAAATTATCCATAAATTCCGAGAGTTTTTCATCTCCCGGAGCCCAGCCATGGGCCAGGGTTGTCTGATGCTTGCTTAGTCAATCAGGCTGTTGCTGCTGGTGGTCCGCTGCCCCACATATCCACCACAATCTGGATGATCTGGCACCTGGTAAAGATCCTTTTCCGGTTTCCTCTTGAATACTCCTGCACTTGTACCAGCAGTGCTTCTGATATCCTCTGGTAAGATAATGAATAATCTGGGACTACCGTACTCCTAGTTTTCACTGGCTTCATTTTGCACTTCCTACCATATCTCTCGAACCAGTATGTTGTTATGGCAGTGTACCACGACAAGTTTTAAGTTAAAGGTACATCAATAAAGTAGTTTTTACAATGATCTCTGAAGCACACAGATAATATTGGCACATAAAAACATATCAAGTTGATTTAAGTTAGCTGACCCCCCCCCCCACAAAAAAAAAAGTAAAAAAAAAGACATATTTCTGATCAGAAGAACCATTCTCTAGTAATTTCACAGAAACCATTTGATTAGAAAAGTTGCTACATTAAAACTTACAAAAAAAATAAAATCAAGGTGAAGCTTCCCTTGCAAAAAAAAAAAAAAAAAAAAAAAAAAAAAAAAAAAAAAAAAAAAAAAAAAAAAAAAAAAAAAAAAAAATCAGCACTAAAAGTTTAAAGCCGACCAGAGGATGCATTCTCCAGTTATCGCACAGAGCTCAACAAAACTTGCACCCTCTTTTAAACAGACAAGTTTCATCCATATCCTACGATGCATTAATCACTAAACAGTGATGCTGTTCACTATTATTTTATTTTAATCCGTGGACAGTGCTAAACCCGTAGGGGTTAAGCAACGGCATTCAGATTCGATGCACGGAAGGGAAAGATAAATCCACTTCCTTGAATCAAAAGCCCATCACCAGTATCAGTGCACCCGACTTCTTGAAGCATTATCCAGATATATAATGCGAAATATTACGAAATATATTGGATGATTCAACAAGATGGCGTCTGTGAAGGCCGGAAGAAGGGTAGACTGGTTTGGCAGAAGACCAGTTAATAGGGTGACTGTGATCTGTAACATGGCAGGGCTAACACTTCTTCTGTGATATGTAAGTCTGTCAGAAAGTGAGCAGTCACTTACTCCAGGGCATTGGAAAGGACAGGAGAAACAGAAGCAGGAGGAGCAGTAGCAGGAGGAGCAGTAGCAGGAGGAGCAGTAGTAGGAGGAGCAATAGTACGAGCAGTAGTAGAACCAGTAGCAGGAGGAGCAGTAGTAAGAGGATCAGTAGTAGGAGCAGTAGCAGGAGGAGCAGTAGTAGGAACAATAGTAGGAGAAGCAGCAGCAGGAGGAGCAGTAGTAAGAGGAGCAGTAGTAGGAGCAGTAGCGGGAGGAGCAGTAGTAGGAGAAGCAGTAGCAGGAGGAGCAGTAGTAAGAGGAGCAGTAGTAGGAGCAGTAGTAGTAGGAGCAGTAGCAGGAGTAGCAGTAGCAGGAGCAGAGGTACGAACCAGATTTCTACAAAGAATATTAGTTTGGAGGAAACTTAATTTGATATCTGAAGAACAGAATGTCGTTAAGATTTAGGAGACCGGAAATAAAGCTAAGGCAAAGGGTAGAAAATTTCACATTAGAAGAGTCTGTGTAGCATGTGATTAGGCAGAGTTTATGACACTTATAAAGTAATAACTTAATCAAAGCTTATTCCTTAGGTAGCGTTGCTGTTGTGAAAATAATTTTGCTAGAGGGTTTTGGTTTGAGAAGGACCTGCCTAGTATGGGCCAGAGGGTTTACTGTTGTGCTCCTTCACTCTTATGTTCTTATGTAACATTCCCAACACACTGACTGCTCAGACTCCAGCTGCCATTAGTGGGCTGGGGGGTTGGAGCGTGTCTACCACTCACTGTGTTGAGGGGCCCACAAGGGTTTACCACATCAAGGAATACACTAATAGAATGTAAAGTAAAAATCATTATTTAGTTTTCGTATATCAATACTTTAGAACTCATTAAGATATCTCTTTACACCTGCTACCTAAGTTCACCTAGCAGAAAATAGACACAGGGCAGTTTGTTGGATATTGTGCGTCGCATCCTAAGGAAGAGGATAGAAGGATACCAGAGGAAATAAGCCACATTGCATGGCTTTCTTGGGTTATTAACCCTCAGGGGGTTAATAATCCGAAGTCAAGCTTCTTTTACTGTTCTTCCACTTCCTTTAAATTTCCTCGAAGTCTTTCTTTTTTGTATTCTCTTCACGTTTCTTGGCTTCTACTATCCAAAGCTCTTATAGCCGATATTTAGTATAGATTTTAAATTATTATTATTATTATTATTATTATTATTATTATCATTATTGTTGTTGTTGTTGTTGTTGTTGTTGTTGTTGCTGTTGTTGTTGCTGTTGTTGTTGTTGTTGTTGTTGTTGTTGTTGTTGTTGTTGTTGTTGTTGTTGCTGCTGCTGCTGTTGTTGTTGTTTTATATTTTTTTATTAACACATCGGCCGTTTCCCATCAAGGCAGGATGACCGGAACAAAGAAGAAATTCTTTCATCATCATTCACTCCATCACTGTCTCGAGAGAGGCGTGCCTACACTACAGTTATAAAACTGCATCATGTCTTCACCACTCCGTCGGAACGCAGACACTGTACTTCCCACCTTCAGGCAAACTGGTTTCCCTGAATCCCTTCATAAATGTTACTTTGCTCATTCTACAACAGCACGTCGTCATAAAAATTATATGCTTCCACTCACTTCTAAAACGCTCTCTCATGCTTGCACACAAAACCTCCTTCACTCTCTTCCTCCAGCCTCTCCTAGGACGACCCCTACACCTTCTTCCTTCCTCTAAAGACATGTACGCCCTCCAAGTCAATCTGTCTCGGTCCATCCTCTCTAAATATCCGAACCACCTCAACAACGCTTCCTGTGCCCTCTGGGTAATACTTTTAGCATCCCTGCACTTCCTTCTAATCTCCGGGCTACAGTTTCTCTGCATAATATTCACACCACTCATCGCCCTCTGACACGACATCTCCACTGCCTCCAGCTTTCTCCTTGCCGCAACATTCACCACCCATGCTTCACACCCATATAAGAGCGTTGGTACTGCTATACTCTTATACATTTCCCTCTTTGCTTCCATGAATGACGTTCTTTGTCTCTGCAGACTCCTCAGTACTCCACTCACCTTCTTTCCCTTCAACAATTTTATGTTTCACCTCGTCTTTCATAGATCCCATCTGCTGACACGTCCACTTCCAAACATCTGAATACTCTACAAACTCCCTCCCCCCAGTCTGATATCCAATTTTTCTTTACCTAAATTCTTTGTTAACCTCATCAGCTTGCTCTTTCCTATGTTCCCTTTTAATCTCCTTCTTTTACGTACCCTACATACCCTTCCAAACTCGTCCACCAACCTCTACAATGTGTCTTCAGACATCTGTGACAACTCCAACTTTGTATTAGATTCTTTATCTATTATTATCATGTTAATATTTTTTAAGACACCGGCAGTCTTCACCCGAGGTAGGATGACCTCGGTTGAGGTCATCCTACAGCTCAGATGCTCCTCCTAACTGTAGCATCCTCACCCCTCCTTCAAAGTGCAGGCACTGTACTTCCCACCACCATCATTCAAACAAATATTAAAGATATTTCCGCGGTGCTGCAATGCATAAAAAAAATTACATAGAGTCTTCTTTCTACAGTTTTAATGATCTTTGTCTTTTTTAATATATTTTCGTTTAGGTACCTCAAGTGATCTTTTCTCTCCGTCTGCGGCCCCTTCAGGGGTACTCCCCGTTTTCCGTCGTCTATGAAGCACCTTCCAGGGCATTTAAAACTTCCGGCCCACTTTCATACTCCACCCATTCACAAAATTCTTCACAGTCAAACATTTCTTTTCGGCAGCAGCTAACTCACTTTTGCTCGACAGCCACTTCAAACTTTCTCTCTTTGCACAGCGCTTCAGATTTATTCACCAATATCTGCAACTCTTGTGTAGCTCCGTCAAGCACAAATGCGTGAGCTGCCCTCAGGTCTTACTGCTTGGCCGGGACATAAAGCAAGTGAAACGCCCAATGAGAGGAAAGCAGGCAGAGAAACTCAATACTCAGTAGAACTGTAGGTAAATACCTGGGTACGATTCTCTTTCTCTGTGAGTGCAGCAAAAAAAGTCAGTAAGTTTGTTAGGTTTAAAACCTGTGAAAAAGAGAGGCACGGGAAAAGGCGACCTTCACTTATTACAGTATAAAGCCAGTTGTAGATGAAACGTTGAAACAATAAAAGACTGCTTTTGTTAAGTGTCTTTTTTCATGATATATCCGATAATCTTATTAACAACAGATTTATAGTCTATAGATTACACGTGGATCGTTAAAGATGACATCAACATGTATATTAAAAATAAAGAATACTCTGATACTTTAAATACTGGGTAACGCACAATATACTTCAGTAGCTACAAAAGTGAGCCTGTTACAGTATATTACTGGACCGCATTTTAAGTCTTAATCCATTCTCTTGTTAACACATTCATTGAAATCCAAATATTTTTCCTTGAAGCCTTTTTATCCACTTCTCCGAGGCTATGGGTCCCACAATTTACACCAGAGGTGGACCCCATCCTATATATATAT